TCAGACAGCCGGAGGCGAGCTTCATAGTACGCTCTATGGATCTGGCAATGGCTACATCGCAACAGCACAGTAGTATGATTACTAGATCATTTCTCACGAGACATACTCTAGACTAACTATGTTGTAGCGATGCATCGACAATATCTACCTATGGACTCCCGTTGGGCGGTACAGGTCAACCCCTACAGAAACTGACATTCAACATGTCTCAATCAGGGCCAGTGCCATCTCGACAGGATAGACCTCACCCTCACTCTGTCTTCACCGATCCCAGCGAAAAATATCTTCTTTCTGCGGACTTGGGAGCCGATTTTATCCGTGTCTTCAGCATCGGATCGTCAGGCATTTTGACTCAATGTCCCTCTTTCTCGACTGGACCCGGAGACGGACCTCGCCATGGAGCGTTTAGAACACAAGGCAATACGACATTTCTGTTCACCGTCAATGAGTTATCCAACTCTGTGACGTCTTGGTCGGTTACCTACCCGGCAACCGGTTGCCTTGTTCTTGCGAAGAAGCAGACCCTGTCGACATTTCCTCCCGGAAAGGCTGCGCCAGTTGGTTCGAAGGCAGCCGAAGTTCACATCAGAGATAACTTTGTGTACACCTCGAACAGGAATGATCAATCTTTCGGAACACAACAAGATTCCATCACGGCCTACGTAATCGACCCTTCGACAGGCCTGATCACATATCTTGAGACAACAAGTGCTTATTCATTCTTCCCTCGAACCTTCGCAATCAACAATGCCGGAACTATGGTGGCTATCGGTGGACAGACAAGTGCCAACGTTGCGGTTGTGGAAAGAAACGCCACTTCGGGTAGACTGGGGAAGCTTCTTGCAACTCTCAAGGTCGGCAATCCAGGGACTGTGAATCAAGAGGATGGACTCAGCGCTGTCATCTGGAACGAATGAGCCTCACGTCATAAAGAGAGAGATCGACGGACACAGCGATGTCATTGCGTTCATTACATGTATTATCATGAGATCTAAGAATCTAGTATCCTCATCCAATATCATCATAAGTGGTATCTCCAAGTTCAAGTCGATTCTTCAAAAACGCTTCAATCATTTCGCTTTACAAAGTCGGTTCGCGTAGTCAACAACACTCCAATCTTCACTGCCCGGTGTAGACCAAGAGAAGAACACGCCGTTGGGGTCCCACTTCTTCTTGATTGACGCCAGCTTAGGGTAGATCGGGCCCCAAAAGGCGTCTTGCCAGTTCTTCATGAAGGCATAGTTCTGTCCACGCACATTAGTACTTATTGTAGTATGTAGTACAGGGGGATGACTAGCTTACCTCATTCACGTATGCAAGGCCGTTAGGACCAGCCTGCTTGAACTTTTCGGTAATGGTGTTGACCATCAGATCATTGAGAGCCAGCTTCGTCGCCCAGGTGGCATCCAGGGCCTGCGGCAGGATAGCCATGGTTCGCATGGTCGCGCCTCTCCACTTAGGGTGTGTTGCGCTTTCGGACTTCTTCTCGTTACTTCCCGGATCGAAAAAGTGGCTAATCACGATGCCGAACTGGTTCGGGGCCGGTGCCAGCGCAAGTTGAATGGCCTCAGCGATGGCTGGCTGATTGCTAGCCATGTCGTCGTGGGTAAAGACCCAGCCACCCGTCAGACCGTTCTGGGCCGCGCGCTCGGGTTCGAAGATGTCGTGGAAGAGCGTGTAGTAGTTGGGATACTCTTTGACTCCAAAGTCGTACGGGATCTTTTCGGTATCGAGGTACGTGAGAAGCGGCTGAACGACAGCTGTGAGCTGCTTGGCAGTCTTGTTCATTCCCATGATTGGCTGCACGTGCAGTGCTGGTCCGATCGCTGGCGGGTATAGCTCATAGATGCCGTAGAGTCCGTTGTCAACCATTTGGTTTCCGAGCGCGTTGAGCTTGTTGACAGCCTTGGTGACTTGGTCGAAGTTGGCGCCAGTAGTAGCGTTGACGTTCAAGAAGAGCGCTGCTCCGGGAATGGTGTCGGGGTATGTCTTGACAGTGACGGATAAGACAACCGCGTAGTTTCCCGGGCCGCCTCCCCTGAGAGCATAGTATAGATCAGAGTTCAACTTGGCGTTGGCTGTGACAAAGTCTCCGGCTGCGGTGAGGACTTCAAAGGAGAGCGCCTGGTCCGCGCCGAAGCCATAGTTGCCGCTCAAGGGACCGTGACCACCACCTCCCATGAAACCACCCGCAACTCCTACAGTCTTGAGAATCGTTAGTCAAATAACGGAAGATGGGTTGTTCCAGGCTTACCTCGCATTCGCCGGTAACTACATTTTGGGGTGGGTTTCTAGCATGAGCTGCGTTCGAGATCTCGTAGCCTTGAACTCCAGCACCGATAGTCATGGCAGGCCCCTTGTAATCTCCGGGGCCTTTGTATGAATCAATGAAGGAGATGTCCTTGAAGTTGTGAGTGTTGATAGCCAAGGATCCAGCACCAGCACTTCTTCCCTCAAAATCGTGGCCCGTGTTGCGGATGACGAGGCGCAAGTTGTTCGACTTCGCAAATTCCACGCCAGCCTTGACCTGAGCTTTCGTCTTGGCGATGATGACGAACTCAGGGTAGTTGCCGAGAGCGCAAGTCTTTGTGGGATCTGTGGTCAGTTCGCAAGTGTTGTTGCTTCCCCACGTCCACAGCTGCGATGCAGGTTGAGAGATTCTGATAGTTCGCCATTAGTTCTGGGCTTGACTCTCGACAGCTCTGCGTCATAGATGAGACTCACTGCCATCTCTCATCCGTCCACTTTGCAGTGGCTTCGGCGCACTTGGCAGCATCGTAAGTCGCGATGCCACGATACGTGTTGTAGCAGACTGCAGCAGGTGGGATATGCTGAAGGAGAGCTCCTCCCACGGTCGTGTTCAGTTTACTCCAAGCATCGGCCTTGGGCCAGCAAATGTCGGCAGGAGAACATCTGCACTCGTACTTTTTCCCATTCTCTTCGTACGCGACGAGCTTGGGCGTTGAAATCGCACTGACAACCCAAGAAAGGCACGCCAGAAGCAGAACGTTGGCCATCGAAGTCCGGGTCATCTTGCTGGAAGACTTCTGCGGTTCCGTCCGATCGTAGTCGTCGTTGCTGTTGCTGCTGTCGACTAATGGTCGCTGGCCTGCTTCGAAAGCAAGCTGCTCCAAGGTCGTGCTCCTCTTGGACATTTTGTATTCGGATTCGAGCTTGACACTAATTTACTCGGTGTGGTCGCCGAGACGCAAGACACCGGCGCGAAGCTCTCTCCCTCGCTGTGTGAGAGGCGAATATCACCTAGCTGCATGGCCTGCGTTGTACTGCAGCGAAGCTAGTTGTTAGTCTCTTGGGAGGGAGGATCGGTAGTGAGATCTAAGTTGTTTCTCCGAGTGAAAGACAGAGTAAAGAAGGCCCATCCCCGAACCTCAAGTTCTCAAGTTCTCAGTAGCCGAGCAGTCAAACGGGTGGTGGGGAAGGGTAAGGTGTCAGCAGGGGAGGGGGGTCTTGGTATTAGCCGCCATCTGATTGCTGTGTCAGCCACATCGGCGGCACGGGAGACTCAAAGGAGGAAGAAAATTGTCGCGACAAGTGAATCGAAGCGATAACTGAGTGTGGATAGCTAGCACGTATAGTAGCATCGACGGCGTGGTGCGAGTTAAGATCATGCGATTAGTCGGGGTCCAGTTCCATGACTTGGAGCAACGCCAGTGGCTGTGGCAACCTGCCGAGAGACGTTGGGGTAAGAATTAGCGTTCTATGACGGATACCTGCAAGTCTGCCAATGGACATTAATCCGTAGAATGCGAGCTTCTCGTCTCTCCAGGGAGGCGTCAGAGCCAAACTCTCCAGATATGTTTTCACTAAAATATTGCTTAGACAAGGGGTATACGACGAGGGAGAGAAGCGCGGATCGTGAACGCAGGGGTCGAGCTGGACTCAATCAAACTTCAGTCAGTTGCGAAAGTTGTGGGGGTAAGACACGGGCAAATCCCGAATTCCACAAACGTCACCACGGCTTTAGCGAAGCTTAGAGAAGCTTCAAGTCTGTATCCGTTCAGTGGGACTTCCGGCAGGCAATTCTCTTAATCTAGTGTATGTAAGTTGCGCGGAAGCTGGGGGTCGCATCATCCGAAGTCCACTCCCAAATTTGGGTCGATAACTGGATGGCACAGGTCCCCATGTCCTGGTACAGTATGCCGAGCCGCTCGGCACAACCTTTTCCATATTAGCGGCGCCAACCAGCGCACGGCACAATGCCGAGTCGGAGGGACCAGGAAGTCGGCAGACCCTTGACAGCGCAGCATTGCAGCATGCTTCGAGAAGCTCTCGAGTCGAGAAGCTTGATCGTTACACTCAATTCCAAACAGCAACTCGCGAAGACAGAAGAATACGATATTGTCGTTATCTGCCCAATTTCGAAATTCCATGTTTTGCGCGACGAGGATCGACATTACGGGCGTCAATAGAGTGCTGGACGGCCTTTGTTAGTTGGAGCGTTGGAGCGGGCCGAGTCATTTCATTTTACCTACCGTAGCGCAAGTGCGACGAGTCCAACGGCTGACGGACAAAGGATAAGGAACGGAACAAAGAATTGCGGGATGGCTTACAGCGGGCACGCGCTTCTCGAGGGATGGTCCGTAGTCTCAGTCGGGATAACAAACTAAATAGTTTAGCTGGCTCTGGCGACCCTGAAGGCTTGCCGTACGGCCTCATGTTCGCATGGTGTGTTAGTTTAACGGCCGAAGAGGACTCAGCGGAGAGACCGAAGCAAGTGACGCCGAAGGCTGAAGCCAAGCCTTCGGCCGGTACAGTTCAGAATCAAGCTCGAATAAACTTCGCCAAGAGTATTCGGGTTCGGGTCATAATCCTGACTCGGGGTTCCGAATAGACAGCTAGGCTAACATGAGGCAAATGAGAGGTTGGGGCCAATATGGGACCAGGCGCCCTAGAAAAGGCTGTGGCTGACGAATGGAAGATCCGAATCTTACGTCCGTATACTAGACTATCCGTAGACCTCGATATAGTCATCAGGAAGTTCATGGCTCCGCTGCTCCGCTCGACGCTGCTGCCGCTGACACCACATCGTCGTCGGCGGCGGGGTCAGGCGAGCTATGTTGTGGATGCCTGCTGGAAAGCGTGGGGTAGAGTCGGCGGCGACAGCGACCTTTACATCCGGAAGTCGTATGTGGACGAATAAAGTCACGGTCCGGATACCCGTCCCTTGCTGGCGGAGGGAACTAGGGACCTTCCGACGAGGTTCTTGCATGTCAGACCTTTCCCCGCCGGCATCTGGAGCTGAGATGCGAGGTTGAGGTGGATTAGACTTGCGACCCACGTTCGGGGAGTCCCAAGCTGTCTTGCCCTCTAGGCTTCGGCGCAAGTAGACATCTGCCTACAGTAGCCATAAGAACCGCTACGGGGCGGCACCAAGGCCGACACAGTTCAAGTATTGGGCAAAGGAGCGCCGGTTGTCTTCGAGGATGCCGAACTCATCATGCCGACGGCCTAGATCATAATCGCATGGGTACGTTAGGTGAGAGTTTAGGCAGCGTTTCAACATCACGGTAGCCGGCTTATGACTACCCATGACCAAGTGCTGTTGAACCCAACAGTTGAAAATTCAGCAAACTTTGCCATAAGATCTTGAGGTAATACTGGGATTTGCATCAAGGTATGGGACAATTCATCCAGAACGTAGCTCTTAAAAGATATCACCTTGCCGGTCCTTAGGCTATCTCGTGCTTAAGATCAAAGTCCTATATCCTAAGTCCTAAGTCCTAATTCGACTTGACGAAGGTAACCAAATCGTCCTCCGAACAATATCCCGGCCAGGTCTTCACTAAGGTGGCGAGCCAATCCATCCTAGGTCTCTCAATTGACTTGCAAAAGAGGCAACTTTTACATGGATGCCCAAATTTTAGGATAGCACAGCGCCACTTTTGCCCTGCATCTAGGCCTATATTCTGATTGGAACTTTGAGTCTTGGCTCTGTAGCCATAGCCTTGTCTTGGAGTTCCCGTGACAGATCGTCCCATGGTATTCGCGCTGATAGCCTGTTTGAGCGTGTGAAGGGAGGGGCCTCGATGGAGAGGGAATCTCGTAGAGTGCACACGCGTTGACCACCACATACTCCCGAGACCCTGGATGTGATAATTGATGGCAATGTGATACCTAGCTTCAACGCATAGCTGCCATGAGTTGCCACCGCTGGGCGACCTCGGTGGCCGACCTGGCCACTCACAAGCCTGGCCAATTTCATGGCCGACTTAATGCAAGGAGGTCACATCGAAGACATTCAACTAAATCGGCTGAGGCTATACGTGAGGATGCTCAAGGGGCTAATACATGAGATGATGTAGTGATTTCGTATGTATCTCTAATAGTCACACGACGGTGACAAGTGTCAGCTAGCCTTTTGGCCGGCGAGGGATCGTCCATCGGGGGGCTGATCAAATGTATCGACTCTATTGACATGGAGGGTACATCAGGGCAAAGAGCATAGACCAGGTTGTATGTTATAGCACAACTAATTAGCAAATAGCGACATCGTGATGTTTATTGAAGAAATCTCCTGGCTTTCCAATCTTTTGGTCATTATCAACAGCTTTAGTCCAGGCTGGAACTGCCATGTTCACGATGATCGTTTCAGGCTTCCACTTTACGACCTTTAGCTGCGCCCTGAACACAAACACATGTACCTACCTTGACCGGAGCCTAGAGTCACAATGCACAAAACGGTGGCTGTGGCTCTCCCAGGGTTATTGGTCGTAGTATCTTGCGCAGCCTCAAGATACCGTTCCGGCCTTCTCGAACCCTTAGTCAAGGGGCATACACCAGGACTAGAGGTATTACTCAATCCGCCGATGTTTTATGGACCGCTACTCAGAGCAATCAAAATTGTAGCCGATGATGATGATTGATGTGCTATTCTGAAATCTCAACCCCTTGAGGAGTAACAGAACTATTCAAAGATGAGAAAAGGCCTGACCAAAGTGCCCCTCAGTACCACCAACTCCGTAGAAAGACTTTTGTAGTTTACATTCGGGTATCATGATAATTTTCAATTTCACCTCCCGATGGGGTAGTTGAACATGAGGAGGCCATTCAGACCCCCAACCCAGCCATCGTCGTCATAGTCCGACGCGTCGCCCTTGCCTGGTCCGCAGATGACACACGGCACACCTCCTTTCCAGTCACCGTTGCTGGACTCGCCGACCATCTCTCCTTCGACACGGATTTCAGTGCCGATACCTGCGCCGGCACTTCGCTTGCCGTCGATACTGACCTCGAGCTCGCCATCGCGGTTCTTGCTGCTGACTTTGAGTGTGACCTTGGTATTAAGGGGGAGGACCAAGGGTCGGAAGCTTAAACTTCGTGGGCAGATTGGTGTAATGAGAAGCGATTTCACGAGGGGGTGTATGATGGAACCGCCGGCGCTCAGGCTATAAGCAGTAGAGCCCGTAGGGGTGCTCAGTAGTATGCCATCTGCGACAGCTTCCGTCAGGAATCGGTTGTTAAGGTAAATGTCAATATGGGCAAGATGAGGCTTTGGCCCGCGGTGAATGAGGAGTTCGTTAAGAGCATGGATTGGTTGAGGAATGTCACGTTTCGAAAGTATTGTGTCCTCGGGGTGTTCGGCTGGTAGGTGTGCTTGTGACTTCGTCGTTGGGAGTAATTGGCTGCTGATGTTCTGGCCGTTGTTGTCGTATACGCCGACGCGTAGTCGGTGTCTCAGCAAGATTTTGGCTGCCCGACTCTGTCCCATGCTCTTGCCAGGAGACGCATGCCATCCAGACTGAGCCCCATCCTTGACGTCGTGTTCCTTCTCTCCGCTTGCGACTCTCGTGTGTGGCGTCAATAGATCATCCACGGCGACGCCACTCCCACTCATGTAAGCCTCTCTCCAGGCCCTTTTGTATTCCTCAAACTTCCACTCTGCCAGGAACCCTATTGTACCAAAGTTGAATGCGAGAATGGGGGGCACGGCTTGGTACATGCTGAAATGGCTTGCGGCGCGTAAAATGGTTCCGTCGCCTCCAAGCGTTGTGATCATGTCGATTCTGTCCGGGAATGCAGATGGGTCGCATGTGTAGATGGGGAAGTTGAAGGACTCGTGCACCATCTGAGCGACTCTCGGCTCAAATATTAGGTTCAGACCGGAATATGTACTTTGTAGGTGCTTCGCAAAGTCGATGGTCGCTCGTAGGACTTGAGGGGATCGCAGCTTCGGCATCAAGAGGATATTCCTCGGAGGCGTCGGCCAGTGTAGAGATAGCAAGCCAGAGGTCGAGTTCGGAGGGTCGCGGTACTTCGGAATAACTCTAGGCGGGAGAGAGGAGACATCGCGAATCTCGGCAGCTCGAACAGACGCGGTCGTCGAAAAGTTCAACGGTCGGAAAGCTCGAATCTGCGCCGCAACCCGCGGCCTGGCGCACAGGCGGAAGGCTCCTGACCTAGACATTGTCGCGAAACTGGATTCATATAGAGTAAGGCAAGAAAAAGAGGGCGTCGCTCATGGCCGAGCGGCGTGCTCTAGGCCGCTGGTAATCAGTTGACTGAGCGCGAGATGTGGTGGTGGAATAGTCGCGCCTCGATGAATTGCCAATGACGACAATTCCATTGGGGAGCCCCACTCGAGCTTTTCTTCCATGCTTCACCGAGCTGAGTCATCCCTCCCTATGGAGCTGACCGAATATGCCGACTCGGTGAAGACCCCACCTCGGAACATGGCTCCGATCATATCGGCCCCATACTCCGCTTCCGGGCCGGCACCGCACCGTCAACTGCAGTTCAAGATGGAGAGAAGATTATGGCAGTCTGGGAGAATGATTGCACAAGAACGTAGTAGCGGTATGTTTTAGTGACATTATGATTTTTTTCCGCGCATCTGTCTCACACCACCCACCCTTCGCGTTTACGTTTATTCCTATTTCTTTGAGAGCGCCGTCATCCTGTCTTTCAGCTGCCTTCCCGCAAGTTGCCCGAGCTGATCGAAGCTCTGCGCGCTTGTCAGCTGCAACACACTTATTTCTACACCAAGAGTGTGTTTCCACCAATTACGAATCTCAATGGTCATGAGAGAGTCGACTCCAAGCGCTGAAGGTGACAGAGTAATGTCAACCCCGCCTTCATCCACCTCCCGCATGAGAAACCCAAATATCCGGCGTGCGATTTCTTGCGCGAGATATGTTGTTGACGCGGACGTTTCAATCTCTTCCGGTCGCGACTGCAGACTGGATAGAAATTCGGCTAAGCCTGATGACCCGGCCTCTTTCCGAGAGGCCACCTCATTCTCCGCAATATCTGGGTAAAGGTTCATGCGAGGATCGTGCTTCCACACAACTCGATTACCAGGATCGTTGATAGACGTGCTGCAGTCAAGACCAAGTACCAGTTGCCCATTGGAGGCTGACCAGTGTGCTCCAGTGTTTGCGCTCGTGGCCACTGGTCGACTTTCAGCGATGGCGAGCTGAAGACCTCGTAGCATGTCGGCTTCGGAAACAAGTTTGGATCCAGATCTCGTCATGGCGTCTTCAACGTCTCGTGTACGACTGACATAGCCCACATCCTCGACGCCTCCTAGGTGAATCACTGAACAAGGCAGACCCAGACCCCGGCGATACTGGGAAAACGCATCGAGGAAGGTGTTGGCAGCCGCGTAGTTTGCTTGGCCTGGATACCCATGCACACCAGACGTGCTACCAAAGAGCACGAAGAAGTCAATGTCACGAGCCAGCGTGCGGTGAAGGTTCCATGTCCCGCGTATCTTGGGCGATGTCGCCGTTTGCCACTGTGACAGTGTAAGGTCAGAAACTGCACCATCGGCAAGCACCATTGCTAGATTTAGTACGCCCGCGATCCGCTTGGATGAAGCATGTCTCGAAATGACCGCTTGCATGGACGCCTCGTCTGCTATATCGCATGGTATGGCATTGACCTCGCAACCTGCATAACGAAGTTCTGAAAGCAGAGCTTGATCGTCATTACTGCGTCCGGCGGACCTCGAGATGAAAAGCAGACTTTTGGCACCGTGGGAGACCATCCATCGCGCTATCGTTGCTCCCAGACCACCCATGCCCCCGGCAAGTACATAGGTAGCTTGCTCACGGAAGCTGGGAGGCAAAGGCACTTGAGATACCTTCAATGCCGCGTCATCTTTCTCGGTCATGTCGACGGCCACCTTTCCAATGTGGGTACCCTGATATAAGTATCGGAAGGCATCTTCAGTCTTACTGCACGTGAATACCTTTGCAGGCTTCACGGGATGGATGTAACCTTGCTGATACAAGTCCACACATTTCTGTAGCAAGCGGGAGATGATGGCAGGGTTCTCAGCAGCCAGATTCGCCATCTCGACGCCAATGAAGGACCGATTCCCATCGAAAGCTGCCATAGCAAGTTTACCGCCCGCTAAGGTATCTTTCTTCCCTAGCTCGATGAAGGTGCCATGAGGGGCGACACAATCCCATGATGCATGTAAAAGCTCTCCAGACAAAGAGTTCAACACGACGTCAACACCGAGACCACCTGTCGCTGCTTTCACACCCTCCACAAAACTGACGTCTCGAGATGAGAAGATCTGTTCTA